GTAGTTTTAGTAGTAGTAGTAGTAGCAGCAGCAGCAGCAGGAGTAGTAGTAGTAGTAGTAGTAGGAGTAGTAGAAGTAGAAGTAGTAGTAGGAGGAGGAGCAATAGAAATAGTAATACTAATTCCTAATTGGAATCGTAATAGTAGAAGCAGAAGAAGAGAGGTAGTGGTAGTCGTCGTCGTAGTAGTTGTTGTTGTAGCCGGGGCACTAGTACATAATAGCAGCAGCAGCAGCAGCGGCAGCAGCAGCAGCAGCAGCGGCGGCAGTAGCTTACGCAAGCCGCGACGAGGCGTTGGCAACTGAGATCCTGAAAACTTTGGTCATCACTCCACCGCCCAAGGATACTCTTGCCGAGTCCTTGTTTCGCTTCTCTCTAGCGGCCTTGAGCTCCTCCTTCCGCCTCGAATGCACTCGGGATGAGTGTTTCCGCATCACTTTGGGGTTCTTGTTTTGAGTCTCATGCTTCTGCTTGGAGTCTCGCAGCCTGGCATTTATGCTTACGCGGGGTTTCGGTTGACCGGTCAGGGCCTGGAGATTCTACTTGTGACCTCGGGAAACAGGAAGACGGAAACGGGCCAAACTGCGAGGGTCTGTGTAACCATCGTTGAACCTGGCCAGACTGTTTCTCATGTTCGCGTGAAGGGGACCTCGTGCCTCAGGGAGCATGGCCTCGCTAGATCTTCGGTCATTTTGGTTCTTGCCGTGGGAATGTAGTATTGAGATAAAAAAAAGAAAGTCGGCTCCGGTACGTCAGTTCATAGGTTCATACCATGCCAGGTGCAATCCTGAGAATTTGGTTCACATCTCCTTTCATACAACATGGAGCGCTCACAAGCTGGAGAACTGGAGACCATAAGTTGTGCTCGTTGGCCGGGATATCATGTTCAACACGCGTGAATTTGAGCGTAAACGCCGGGATCGTGGCTTTTTCTCAGCCTCTTCTTCCAAGGCTTTTGTGGCCTGAAGGAAGCAGCGCTGCTTGCCACTCGAAGCTACGGAAGGCGAAGGAGGATGCTGGTACGAGTCGCGCTGAAGCAAAAATCCCACGCCATCGCTCAGCACCACCCTTGAAGCACAAGGTCACGGTCGCAGGATGTCGGCACGAACATGCCGAATACTGACTGCTCACTTCGCCTTTGAACAGCACACACCCATACCTCCGTGTACCTACAGCTGACAGATACAGGCACATCTACATGCATGCACAGAAATACAGACAGTCCACAAATGTCCACAACACAGGTGAGGACTCTCAAGCTCAAAGGTTTATTACAAAGTACTACAAAGCAGCTTCAACGGTTTGTGTTGGTTCGATAGCTGCACGTCAACGGCTTCCACTAAAGAGTTTCTACATACACGGATCAAGCTGTACACATGTGCATCAGGGTCCACAGGTTATCAGAATCGAAAGCATCCAGATCGGGCATCAAGGGGCTCCTGACGACACCTCGGGGCCCCCACCTCCGACATGATAGGATCTGCCGAGGTAATGCCCTGTCAGACTGCAGAAACAGAGAGAGTTCAGCCCTTGCTGTGACGGTGTGTGTTAAGGGTTTAGGGTCCAATAAATGTCAAGGTTCTGAGATTATGTATGTCAAGCTGAGGGATCTGGCTGCACGCAGAGCTGCAAGAAAGCATAAAGCTTGAAGGCTCTGCTTTTCTGGCGTTTCCGTTTCGCGGTATTTTTTCCCTCTCGCATGGCTGAGGATCTATGCCCACTAGCGAGGTTGAGAAAGTGCCGCTACTCCAACTGTGCTAGACAGGACAACTGGGTCGGGAAGTACGAAGCAAGTTTCGCGGTATTTTTTCCCTCTCGCATAGCTAAGTTTCGCGGTATAGGATGGTGGTTTACAAGGGTTAGCTTTCGTTCTAGCGTGCGTTTGCGTGACCTCAAATTTTAGATTTTGGAATTTCGCTGGTTTCGAGGTCGCTTAATTGGGATGGCACTCTGCCGGTGGTTGTCGTGTGACGTAAGCCCCAAGATGTTGGCAGTCAGGGGCTTGGCTTTATCGCAGGTATGGGTCTAGAACGTATTGATTTGGTAGAGACCGGTGTTAAGAATCTGATGCTGGACACTGCAGCCTCGCGGCTCACGGCCTCACAACCTTGCACTCAGGGCTTTCGCGAGTCCTACAGTACGAGCCATTTCCGACACCCCAAGACCATGAACCGACAGCATTCCTCTCCTGAATGTGCCGAGATCCGAGATGCTCCCTAGATCCCATCCGTTTCCCTGCTCTGCACGGCGACTTGCTTACCGGACGCCTCCAAGGCTGCTAGGCTCAGAGCGGTGGCGGAGATTCCGCCTGAAAACCCAAGGCCGAAGGTCTATCAAACTTCGATAACCTCAGGAATGGCAGGTTTGCGGTTCACCTCTTGTCAGGGCCCTGGGCCACTACATTGCTGAACGAGTCGCCATGCGGGTGACATTTCAGACTGTTGGGGTTGACGGTCCAAGGAAGGCTTCAGGGCTTTGCACCCTGGCAACTCAGGCATGCTCCGCGAGGCTTCAGGTTCGACGAATTCTGCAGGCAAGGTGCTCCAGGTATGAAACTCAAGAGACTGTTGGAATCACTGCAAGAAAGACAAAGACAGAACCAAGAGGAAACACATTTGTCTTCCACAGCAGTAAACGTCAACTAGGGCCAACTAGGAGGCACCCAAGTCAAAGCTTGTCTGGTTCCATGCGCTGCAGTTGGGATGTATCGCCCGTGGAGCATGATGTCGATTGTCTGAACCAGTGTTAAGTTTGTCGGTGTGCCTGTTAGTCTCCAGCCATAATTCCGTTGCGAAGTATGAATGTGCCCGCCAGCCGTAGTGAACAGTCGAATCATCCACAAATGCCGCCTGGCGCTGGCGTGGGGGCAGGAGGAACGCCAGCCTCATGCTAGTTCCGATTTCCCGTTGCAAGTGCAGCGAGAAGGCGTAACATAACAGGCAAAACGTCAACGGATACGGCACAACGGCATAGTCAACGCATCGGAGCGGCACTGCATATGTCGCTTCAAAGTACAGGGTCTAGTCTAGTGCTGCGGCATGCAGGGTTCCGCGTGAAACTGCAGACGATGCAAACATGACATCTGAAACCTGCAGCAGGAAAAACGCTAAAGCAACATTCTCCACGCACATATGGAGAAAAAACAATCTTCAAGGATCAACGTCGCTCACGCCCTACAGGATCCACTTCGGGATTCGGCAACGTCGTGCTTTCCGTAATGGCTTTTAGTGACGGAGATTCGTGTAAGACTACCACTCATAATTACTTTTCTTTTCATGACTTGTTGCTCCCCAAGCCCCGAGACTGCCCTCTTGCAGCAGTTTAAAGTCCTGCAAGCCCAAACCCTAGGTCCCTAGGTGCAGCCATGAGCCCTGCACGAAAGGTAGAGCTCTCCGAAGCCTCACCCGCGAGCTGCGAACAAGTCGCTGCGGCCACGCCCGTGAACGCACCAGGGGGTGGAAGTGGTGCTGGAGCAGGGGGAGGTTGAACCTGTCGTATAAAAAAAAACATGCATCGAGTTCACGGCTGCAAGATGACACGAACGTCGTCATCGCAGTCATCATGCAGCATCAAAACTCACTTCAAACTATCTGCGAACGGTGTGCCGCTTTGGACTCCGGTGACCCTAGAAGGTCTGGGCTGACGCAGCGTTGGGCCATGTACAAAGTTCTGTTGGGCTGCGATGGGTCCGAAAACCTCGCATCCGTGATGATCTAAGTTTACGCCTGCCAGCAGTGGCAAACACGCATGAACCCGTCTCGAAGGAAGTACGGCCGCACATCGCACTCGATGAGAAAGCTGAATCATCACTCTCAGCACTCGCACTTTTGTTCATGCGCCTGTTCAGCTACAATTGCTGCTGAAGGGTCGAGCATGTCGCTGAGGCCTCTGTGCCTAAGAAACTGAAGCGGCAGGCAGAAGCTGCAATGGTGTCACGAGGATGCCGTGAGCAGCGAATGTTCGGATTTCGACAACAACATAATCCCCCTTCGCGACTCTTCTAGGTAACGTTTCCGGCCAAACAGCACCAGCTTTTCCGACATCAGGAAAATCATCGCCTGCCTCCAGCGTCTGCTGCGTCTGCGGATGGGACCAAGACCAGTTGCAAAGCACACCATGGACCGAGCCATCTGCAATGACTGGGCCTAGCCTGCATTTCCTCCCGGCTTCAAGGCTTGCCAACTGAGTTGGGCAAGACGGGCTTGACAGTGGAAGTCGCAGCACTTCTTGTTCACATGTTAGGCGTTTCGGTGAAAGTCGCTTCTCTGAAAATGCCTCGAATGTGGTGGGAGACAATGCATTTAAACTCCTCACATCCACATGCACACCATCTACTGATGGATGGTGGACGTGGCTGCTCCTGGATAGCGGCATGCTCTCCACCAGTGTGAGCGACAAGCTCAAGAAATGAGGCAGAACCCAAAGCTTTCCACCAGGGATTGTGCAGTGACGATGGGCCGCTACGACCTGCGAGAGGACGTCAGGGCGCAGCTCGCCAGACCGCTGCACAGCATCGGCGAAAACCAAAATGACATCACCATCCTGCTTTGCGCCAGACTCTCCTAGCAAGTCGGCCAGATTGTGTGCGGATGAGCGCTGGCAAAAAGTGATGTTGCCACGGATCCCATTAGCTGCCAGAAAGGCTCGAGATGACGTCGGGTCAAGGCAGCTGCTCGCATAGGCCTTGGGGCGAATTTCCTTTGGTAGGCTTTGTGCCACGACTCCCAGAGCAGCAGGAAGCCGCATCGAAGACAGGTCCAGAATACGAGGTTCTCGGCACTTTGTAGGCAAAACGCTCGCAGAATGCTTCCTCAGATTGTCCCACACACTTCGGTCGTTCAGCCATCGGAAATCTTCAACGGACAGAGCCTCCGCTCCTTCCGATTCTTGCGCTGCATGACAAGACTCGGGAGACTTCACCCGACACTCCATTCGGTCCTCGAACATCCTTACACCAACTTCCACGGCTTCCCCAGCTGACATAGGCCTTCCCACCTGAACTTCCGCAGCGTTTGCCTGTGCCCAGACGGGCCAGAAGACCTGTGGCCAATGGTTCTCGCTTCGGCCAGGGTGTGAAGACACACAGTGCTTGCCGGATTTATCCAAATGGAGATCCCACCAAACAACCAAGGCATGGGCAGTTCCGCCACGAGATACTTTCAGGCTGACCGATGCAACATCACAAGCATTTAGCTGCTGCTGGATCTGTTCTGGGTCGTCAAAGCAGATGTGCAAAAGTTCATGTGGCTCGCTCAGGATGACATGGTCGAAGTCTTCCAGGAACTCGCACATGAAGCCTTGGTAGAGTTTGCCGCCGACTCCTTTGAAGCTGCTGCAGGCATGGGTTCCACCAAAGGAATGCCGTAGGATGGGGCAGTCCACCAGCTGGCCGTAAACTGTGCCTCTACACGGCAGAAGCCTTCCCTGTGGCTTCAAGAGCCGTTTGCATGCGTCCATCGCAGTCTGCAAATAACCCTCGCCAAGAAGTTCAGCATCAACAGCCTCGCAAACTATGAAGTCAAAGGCTTGAAGCTGCAACGTACAGCTGTTACCCTTGTGCAGCCGCACTTGTGCTTGCGCAGTGTTTCTGTGGCTTTGTGCCAGGCCCAGGTCGTCAGAGGCGTGGTTTCCCACAACCTCCTTTGCCAAAGCAAAGAGCAGCTCGTTCTGCTCACATGCGTGCACCTCCAAACCCCCTTTGATGTGCTGGCCGAGCTCACGGCAAATAAGAGCCAGAAACCCCGTTCCAGTTCCTATGTCCAGGCAGCTGTTCTGATGACCTGCAGGTTCTGCGCCGAGCTCCTTTATGGTATCGCGAATAGCTCCGGCAAAGGCGCTGTTTCTTGGACCGTCGTTGAGCATGGCAAAATGCCACAGCGCCAGCGCACGCGAACGAAGTCCGAACAGGCTTGAAATTGACTCGTCTCGAGATGCTTTATCTGGTGCAAGCTTGAGGCCCCGATGCATGGCCCGCAGTGCTGAGCAGTGACGGCCTTCATCTGCCAAAGCTTTACCAATCATCGTGAAGAGACTGGAGAGGTTCTGAGGCTGGATGGAGAATTTCACAAGAGACCCTGCGGCTCCCTCGGCGAGTCGCGCCTGCAGCCCGGCATCCGAACCTAGCCACACTGCAAGCAACAGCTCTTCGTGAAGCTCTTGCCACAAGTCAGGCATTTTTTCGAGCACCGCCACCAGACGACCTGCTGCTTCTTGATAACCTGCCCGAGCCTCTGAACGAATGAGCTCACGAGCTTGCGTCACATTCTCAACGACCCATCGGCTTAATGAGGCTGACACGTTTGCCGCTCGCTTCCGCCTCTTGGCCACAGGTCTGCGTTGCAGCTCCGTGGCTGAATCGTCCATATGGCTGGCAGACTCAAGCTTATGTTAGAATGATCACCGGAATCATGAGAAGCAACCGGGAAGTACTAGCCTTTGCCATTCTTGGGAAAAGAAGAATGCAAAGTTTAAGGAAGGAAGTCAGCGGGCCATTGTGGATGGAGCTGTGGTCGAGCCACCCCAAAGTCAGGCCACCGGGTCCACGCCAGACGGTTGGGTTGAGGGCGAAGGCTTTTGGTTTGGACTGCTCGAGGTATAGGACTTACACAAGTTTAGGATCTTTCATGATCCTCACCTGTCCGGGTCGCTGTGACATCCTGGAGAAACCGGTTTCCGATGAAGGAGACACTCGGCCTTGTTCGTGTACCCCGCCAGGTTAGGGTTTAGGGTGCAAGAAGCCTCCAGCAAAACGTGACCTTGAAACAGCCTGTACAAGCTATGTGTAAACTTCTATGATTCTATGTCCGTCTGGGCCAACTCAAAACGTTAGGCTTTGGTGTGTCTCTACGCAGTCCAAACACAAACAGACCTGCGCAACAAAGCTTGAACACAACATCAACAGTTCACGAGGGCCGAAGCTGTCGGAACAAGGCTTGGGGTACCACGGCAGCTGGGTGGGAATTGAGATGGGACACATCCAGCCTCCTCCTTCTCAACAGGGCCTCAGCATCAACAAGAAGAGTTCAAAGATGGACCATGCTGTCCAGCACCACCGGCTTGTCATAACCGGAACCTCTAGAGCGTCAGTAGACCTGATGCCCCTCCAGCAATCCGAGCGTCAAACGCCTGTGACCATGATCTAACCCGAAATTCCAAACCGATCCAACAATCGGATTGCGGCTGCAATTCGCGGTCTGGCATTGATGTGACACGTCCGCTCTCTGCCTCTCGTCTAATGTCCCCACCAAACACGTATTTACATATGTACGTACATACAACCATATGAATATGAACTACTCAACTTCGGAAGGGAGACGCTCCGAATTATCAGCACGTGTCATGTTACCTGACATGCCAAGATAACAGGCTTGTGTCGGCCCAGCACCGAAACGAACAAAACAGTCCTCACTCTGCATCACTGCTTCGGCACAATAACATGTCACTCACTCGCATGATGCATGCATAGACTATGCCAGTACTCAAACGCAACTCGAAGGAAACAAATCCCGAGAGAGAGATGGTTGACAGCACCGTTGCACCGAGAAGTGCAAGCCCTGGGCATTTTCGGAGCACCAGTAGTCGGTCTCGACAAGAAGTCGGGGAGGAAACTTGAGCAGGGACAGATCTTTGACTAAGTAGAACCATAAACTGCCTTGTTGGACTCTTGGAATTGCCAGCTGTTCACTTCTGTGATCTGGCTCCTGGTCAAGCTTTTGCTGCAAGCCGACCTGCATGCTGAATCTTCGCCAATCAGTTAATGAGGCAGTTAGTCCCACGTTTGTTTTGAACAAGAGCCTGAACCTTGAAGATGCAAAGCGTCCAGGCTTTAGCATGACTTTGAGTCTTTAATCCCTTCCCCCTAATATTAAAGGGCCCCCCCCCCCGCCTCCCTAATATTAAACCTGGATTTC